GCTGGTTCCCACCCCAGCCTCAGGGCTGTGGCTGCTGCTGGCTCTCAGCCCCCCTGGGGCAGCCCTGTGCCTGTAGCAGGCCATGGGAGGGGGGGAGGGCTGCTCCCAGGCACTGGTTAATCAGCACCCAGTAAGATGATGCTTACCAGGTAACTGGTTACCCATTCAAATTCTTACTGCCAGGCAATCAGGTCCAAAATATACTTATAATGTTTGAAATACATTGTGGCTATGTCTACACTAGCATGATTTTCCACAGATGCTTTTAACGGAAAAGTTTTCCGTTAAAGCACTTGCAGAAAAGAGTGTCTAGATTGGCACGGACGCTTTTCCGCAAAAGCACTTTTTGCGGAAAAGCATCCGTGCCAATCTAGACGCGATTTTCCGCAAAAAACCCCGATCGCCATTTTCGCGATCGGGGCTTTTTTGCGCAAAACAAATCTGAGCTGTCTACACTGGCCCTTTTGCGCAAAAGCTTTGTGCAAAAGGACTTTTGCCCGAACGGGAGCAGCATAGTATTTCCGTAAGAAGCACTGATTTTAGAAAGTAGGAAGTCAGTGTTCTTGTGGAAATTCAAGCAGCCAGTGTAGACAGCTGGGAAGTTTTTCCGCAAAAGCCAAGTGCTTTTGCGGAAAAACTTGCCAGTCTAAACACAGCCTGTGAGTTCTTTGAGGCATGGCACAAGTTATTTTGTGTTCATTAAGCACTGAGCGTGTTGTCAGCACTCAGTAAATAATAATGAAAACAAATATATTATCAAAAATAGATAGTTTTATGCAGAAAGTTATTCCAGTTTTCTTAGAAGAGATGCTTATGCTTTTTAAAACTGTATTAATTTACAAGTATAGCTAATTCTCCAGAAAAGGGAGTAATTCTGAATGTAAACTGCTAAATGAGATCTGTTGTTTAGTGGAACTCTTCATTGGTATTAAGCTGATGTAGCTTGTTCTTGCCTCAGCCACCTCCACCTTTCTCTCTCTTCTCCTCCCTTTCTCTTATGCTTTGCTATGCTGATCCTCCACTTCCATGTGCTAGGACAGTCCAGGAGATGCTGTAATGGGCACAAGAATATCTAACTGCCCCTGTATAAAACTATGGTACGCCCACATCTTGAATACTGTGTACAGATGTGGTATCCTCACCTCAAAAAAGTTATTTTGGCTTTGGAAAGAACTCAGAAAAGGGCAACTAAAATGATTAGGAGTTTGGAACGGGTCCCATATGAAGAGAGGCTAAAGAGACTGGGACTTTTCAGTTTAGAAAAGAGGAGACTGAGGGGGATGTGATAGAGGTACAGTAAAACTCCGATGGTCTGGCATCTGACGGTCCGGCACTCCTGATGGTCTGGCACCATCAGGAACCCGGAAGTGCTCCGGGCAGGCGGACCATTGGAGCTGCTCTGCCCCTAGCTTCCCCTATTCAGCCGCTGCTAAAACTGACCAGCAGCTGAATCAGGGAAGCCGGAGGGAGAGCAGCTGGGGCGCTGCCGGGGAGGTCCCTGCAGGACCAACCCGGCAGCACCCCAGCTGCTCTACCCCAGGGTCCACAACAAAAGCTTGGTCTGCTGGGGGGCGGGGGAATTGCCAGAGCAAAGCCTCAGAGGCGCGGGACCCCTCTGCCTCCCCGGCGTTGCTCCAGGTGTCCCTGGTCTGCTGGGGACGGTCCCCAGCAGACCAGAGGCACCGAGAGCAAAGCGGTAGCGGCGGGGGGGGGCGCGCGCCCCACCCCCCCGCC